CACCTTCTAGGATTAACACCAAAAATGATGTCCTTATCATCATGGGGGATTGGAATGCTAAAGTAGGAAGCCAAAAGATAACTGGAGTAACAGGCAAGTTTGGCCTCTTCAGCACCAGTGGTTGGGGCATAGACTTGGACTATTGTGATGTTGAATGGTTTGCCTTGGATTTGAACTGAGATCATTCTGTCATTTTGGAGATTGTATCACAGTACTGCTTTTCCTACTCTTTTATTGACTATGAAGGCTACTCCATTTCTTCTGAGGGATTCTTGCCTGCAGTAGTATACCTGGTGGTCATCTGAATTAAATTCACCCATTCCTGTCCATTTTAGTTCTCTGATTCCTAAAATGTTGATGTTCAGTCTTGTCATTCCTTGTTTGACCACATCCAGCTTGCCTTGATTCATGGATCTTACATTCCAGGTTCCTATGGAGTTTTGATCTTTACAGCATCGGATTCTCCTTTCACCACCAGATACATCTGCAACTGAGTGTCCTTTTGGTTTTGACCCAGTCGCTTCATTCTTTCTGGCACTACTAGTATTAGCCCTCCGCTCTTCCCCAGTAGCATATTGGACACCTTCCGACCTGAGGGGCTCATCTTCTGGCATCATATCTTTTTGCCTTTTGGTACAGTCCATGGGGTTTTCATGGCAAAGATACTGCAGTGGGTTACCATTTCCTTCTCCAGTGGATCACGTTTTGTCAGAAGTCTCTGCTATGACCTGTCCATCTTGGGTGGCCCTGCACGGCATAGGTCATAGCTTCATTGAGCTACACAGGCCCCTTCGCCACGACAAGGCAGTGATCCATGAAGGGGTTTGTATTGCATGGTGACTTAATGAAGGTAACCTTTTGTATTTCATGTCTGGAATGATCTGTTTATGCTTAGGAAATTTTACATCAAAATTTACACTCCTTGTTAAAAAATACTCACTGACACCCATGGAGAACTATACGGATAAGCAAGTAAAAACAAGTACCAATCCTATGGAAGCTAACCTGTGATCTGCTGCTAGGCCATCACTCCAGGGTCACCATGCTTAAAACTCTTTTTGCATTACAACATCAGCAGGAACAAAAACAAAATTGTTTATTCCAGTTCTGTTTCCTAAGGGGTTTTTTATAGGAAGCAACTGCAATTATCTTTCTCCTCCTACAAGCCTTTAAGGCCTCTAATTCAATAGTACAAAATGAGGCTGAACCCTCAATCTCAAAAGATTCATTACATTCAGAAGTCATCCATGTTTCAAAATTAGCATCATCAAACAATGGAATATTCATGTGTTGTGTCAGAAAATTTAACCGAGTTGGGAAACTGGACTCCTAAATGGACCAGAGCATGATCTGTGGTAACAAGTGTAACAATATCACATGCTGTTATGCACTAAAATACTGGAGAAGAGACCAAACATAGTCTAACATATAGCGACTTTAATGCACAACCAAAATATGCATAATCTTGGTCCAGGAGATGCAACACTTGCCATGTGTTAATGAAATGCAGCTCGGACATGCAGGCCTCCAGAATCACAAATCACCTGGGTGGTCAGACTTACACGGTCTCTTATGACTGGCAGGACCAGTAGTAATTCAACACAAGCCTTTTGGTGCTTGCTTACTTCAAGACTTGGATGCCTATTCCCTGTATATCCAAGCTCCTGTAAGTTGTGATATTAACTGTAACACATGACTCCACTCACTCTGTCAAAATGCCATCAGCTGTATCCCGCCCTTCTGGAGTGTCCCAGAACACTCGGGCTGTAAGTTGATTGGGTTCTGCTGTTTTCTCCTTTATACTTGGGCACTGAATTCTAGGTGGTTCCATATCTGTAAATAAACAAACACTACTGTTTGTCTTAAATGAACATTACTCAAGAAATGTGAACAGCACATGTTTAAACAACAGAAACAAACTTAACAGGTTCATTATCAAGCCCTAATCCAGATACCTAAGCATGCTTAGCTATACCTATAAAGATATATATTAAATAGATTTAATATATTTAATCTTTATAGATTAAAGATACAGATTAAATTTTAAATGTGTTTTTTTTTTAAAGAAAAAGGACAGAATCTCGGGAAAAAATGAAATGCTTTTAGTTTCATTTCAAAAACTCACTGATTTAAAGAACCATCACTCAAGCCTTTCAAAAAGCACTCTTTATAAAAATGAGCTCTTATCAAATCACATTTGTTTTCTAATTATTAAACACTTCCTCGCCTACATATCATTATTCTCCATTTACCATCATCTGCACACTGAATTTTCATATCTAAACATTAATAACATAAAATGATCTTCTCAGTTCTTTTAATGGCTGACATGGAGCGAACAGTGTTGAAACTGACCATTCTGTACATAGCTACTAACAAGGAGACAAATATTCTATACAGGAAGAACTGTATAGTTTCTTTAAAAGTGTAAATGTTAAGTGTGCATAAATGTACATATTATTTCTTTTCTGTGCTTCAGTATCAATGCAGAAAAATAGATAATTTCTGGTGTAGGTTGGAATTATGGAACATTTTAGCATAATGAGTATGCAAGGTAGGACAAAGATGAGAAACTGAAACTTTTTGAATAAAAAAGATCTACCTACATAACTTGTCCGAACTCTACCTGGACACTTCAAAACATTTTTTATGTATTTTGCTTGTTATTGTGGGCACTTTTTTGTGACCAAGAGCTGTGTCTCACTATATGACCCAAAGACAGAAGTTTCCCATTACCAATACAAGCTACAGGAAGGGGTAGGCAACTTGAAATACTCAAGGTGTCTTATCAAAGTGTCTGCAGGTATTACACATTATGTTTTCAGCATGGTAAATGCTAACAATGTAATGTAGGAAGCAACCTCAGGGACCAGTGTACATGCTGCTCTGCTCTCAGCAGCTTGAAGAAAGAGATCTTTGTACTGTGTTAGTTGCTTCCTCTTTATGGCAAGTAAGTAATTTGATGTGTTTGCCATAGGTAGAAGCTGATGCTTCTGCATACTACTTCAACCTTTCTGCAGGCACACTGAGAAAGATGTAGGAAACTACAGCTGTGCAAGTGCAGTGTGGTTAGACTCTTTGCTTACAACATACACAGGGAACAGTCGTAAGAACACAAACTGGCATTAAGGCAGTTGGATGCATGAACCCAAATTCCAAGTTTTCATGGCATTAAACACATGTAAACTGAAATTAATGATTGTGGGAACAGAAATATTTCTGGAGCATTCATTGCTTCAGATATATGATGATCAAGTTTCTGCTTCCAAGCAGCGAAGGACCTTAAGTTTCCATGGATCACTATGAATTTCTGATACATTAAGACAACAACCTTGTGTTACTATAGGAACTGCAGCTCCAGGCACTCATGGATCAGTGAACTCTTCTTGCTGGACCAGAATGCTTTAAGTCATTTTAATTGCTTAGAGACAGTAAGCATATAAACCCAACCTCCCTACCTCTCTCCCTGTTAATCTGTAACATAGTGGAGAGGTAGCTTTATGAGAATCATAACAAATTACAATTGAGCCAGACAAGCAGAAACAATTAAATACAGACAAAATAGCGAGAGCCAGTTACAACAAAGCCATCCTAAAGTGACTCTGATATTGTTTCACAAATATTTGCATGAAAGGTACATGGTCAAAAATGGGACATCTAGGTACTGGAAGAGCTGCTGGAGTGCTGCTAAATTTAAAACGCTCCATATCTAACACCATAATATTTTGGTACTTTCACTATTTGCCATCTTAAAGAAGGTTGAAGGAAACAGCACATCTGGGTGGGTGCATGAGTACACTATGGCTATGCTAGTCTGAAAGACCTATGGAAATATAATCCTACTACTGAAAAGACACTGAAAGAGACTTTCATTATGATATTTCCCTTACCCTTCTTCCAAGGAGCTCAGGGTGCTTTACACATCTCTCCCCACTTCCTATTTTATCCTTGTAATAACCCTATGAGATAGGCTGAGCTGAGAGATAATGATTGGTCACCAAGCAGCTTTCATGAATGGTGGAGATATTAAACTAGGACCTGTGTTCAAAGTACTGTACCACATTTGTCCTTTCACATTAATGACTGCCATATCCTACTGGCTTCCATGTTTGAAGTACTTACAATTGGATAGATATGCTTAAACTCTGGGTAGAGACCCACCAGGGAAGAAAGATTCAAATGGCTTTTAAGTATAACACTGCTAGTATTTTGTTTTCCTAAAGACAGGAAAAAGCAAACACATTCTTGCTTCACCTAAAGAGACTATCCAGATCTCAAACAAGACTAAATGGATGGCCCTACTTTGTACCAAATATTAATTCAGCTTTTTCTTGTATCAGCTGGTTAAGAGGGACCAAGAGGGCTTCACGTGTTAGCTGGTAGTGCATATTATCTTATTTTTTATCAGAAAGCTCTGGAAATGGTTTTAGCTGCAACACTACAACTGCAAACTACTAGCTGTTTATTGTTTGTCTTTTGTATTTTTCCAGATTGTTTATGGTCACATTTGGCAGATTCTGTGTCCCTTAGGAATAGATTTATTTTAATTTTGTTATCGTTTGAAACATTTTTAAATTTTTCAGATACCAGGGTAGTGTACAAAATAAGATCACACATGCAATGCAGTAAAACCACTAAAATGACAAAATAATAACTAAGCAAAAAGGGAAGCAAACACAGCAGAACAGAGAAATCATTTACATTTATGCTCCTAGTAAAGTAGTAAAGGTTTTGCTCTCAAAACAGCTGCAAGTCAGGTGCTACTCCCAGCTCTGCAGGGGAAATTATTAAATACTGAGGGACCAGTGGGGAACAACTGTGAAGGTGCCCTCGCTTGCCATTTACTTGACACACATGCAATCAGAGGCCATTTTTTCAGAGGCAGGCTGATATCTGGGTCTCAGCCATGTAGGGCTTCATTAATGATGATATCAAATTGAGCACAGATACAAGTTATCTTATCTTCAAAGTGCCTTGTAGACTTATCACAACAGGCATCTGAAAATTCCACCACATTGTCACCTAGGTTTTGTCTTAAACCAATTATCACCTAGAAAAGCTACACTAGGATGCAATGGAGGCAAAGAAATATGACCATTTCACCTGAAGGACTGTCACAAAATAAGCACTATAACATGTTCTTACTTAAGTTCGGTCATGTTCATTACGAGATTTGTGCAATCTGCATTCTAGTTGTCATCATGCCTCATTTGTAGACCACTGATCCCCAATAAACCAAGGAACTGGTTGGATTCGAGAACATTGGAGAGGAATGTTAATCGGTAGCAATTATGCCAATAGCTTGTTCTATTTCACCATAGTGTACCATGCAGACTTCCTTCCACTGTCCCCTTCTTTACCCTCCAAATGTAATAGTGAACTGTTTTGATTCTACACTTACCAATGCAAGTAGCTGGTCTTCCACTCCAAGCTTTGTTATCCATACATTGGACTATTCTGTCTCCTTTCAACTGATAACCAGGTGAACAATAATACTCACACCTGGAATTAAAATATGCACCATCTAAACACTTGAATCCTCCATTAACTGGCATAGAAAGGGTCTGGCAACGTTTTTCTAAGGAGGGAAAAACAACAACAGATTACTGAGAACATTACAAAGAGACTTCTCATAGCTTAATGCAATACTTGAAAGAAGACCATTTTGAAATTAAGCTCTGACATCTAAAGATATCTTTAGATGCCAAAGAGCAATTACAAATATATATATATCTATTCAAAAAGGCCACACTGCAAATGCATGGCTAAATACTGAGTAACATAAACCTATGTATCTTTAGAAAGGGGGAAAGTCCTACAACCTACAGCATTCTCCAGCTAGCATGGCTGACTGGGGAATGCAAAGAGCGGTAGGAATTTTTCTGTCAAATGATGCATCATATTGCATCATTAGAGTATTTGCTGTTACCAGCTCCTCTTGAAGTGCTTCTGTTATGTGCTTGACTTAGTTAATGAATATACGATAGTAGGGCTTCCAGCCCAATTTGCCTGAGAGGAATCAATCTGCGCAACCGATGAAATGTGGCTCATAAATGGGGTTCATATTTTTCTTTAAATGTTTTCTTTGTTAATCATACAATGAACATGCTGAGCAGATTAGTTTGCAAACTCCATATGGCAAAGACATGCCCTCTTGTATTCTACAAAGCACCATGCATACATATGGTGCTGTAATCATCATGATTACTCATAAATGTACATTTTTATAACTGCAAAAAATAATCTAACCAATATTATTGTTTGGGTCAGGAAAACATTCTTTGGTTTGTATTCTAAGTTACAGTGAATGGAATAAACTTCACAGAAGGAAAGTTTGCTCGCTTCACTTGCCTTTGCAACTGTCAGTAGCCTACCCAGCATAATCTCTCTGAAGGATCGCATATGTGTGTCTCTGGATCAGTGTATGAGCGAGTTAAGAAGGCTGCTGAGAAAGGAGGGAATCTTCACAAATCAAAGCCACAATTGTGTCAGAAAGTGATCCTAACAAATTGAAAGTTAAGCTTCAAAACAGATCCAGCTAATTTCCATTCGCCTTTGCCTAAAGCAGGTTGCTTGCTTGAGTCATCTTGAACTTGCAATCCCCACCAAAACTTTATCACGGAGAGTGTTGCTCATATGGGGTGGCCTGTGGCCTGGATTAACCTAGAGCTTTACAGTGGCAATGTTGGGAGGATCCTGCCTTAGGGTACAGCATTGTCCTTGGTGACTTCCATGTGAAAGTTCATTATTTTTCTGCATACAACTATAGAAAAAAGATGGGTGAAATTGCATAGAAAAATAGAAATAATAATTTTATTTTTTCCTTCATATTAGATGCAAATCCTATTTCTGGATGAACTGAAAGCAAATCTTTAGTAAACACAGAAGCCACTCACGTTTGCACAAAACTTTCCCAGACCAGCGTTTGCTCGACTGACAAATAAGCTGCTGAGGACCATGGAGTTCATAACCTTTCTGACAACGAATGTCACATTTCGTTCCCAAGACATTTTTGTAATAGCCTCCATGAGGGCTTCTGCAGTTCGCATAGCCATATTTAACCTTGATAGGAGAGCACCATGGTGTATCTGTTGAAAGAAAGAGAAATCAGCATACATAAGAAGAAAATGATTTTATACAAAACCAAAACACATATAATTAGGTTTAGCTATGGAGTTGGGTCAGAGTCTACTGGGAAGATAACTGAAATTACAGAGAAATACAAGCTGCAGATCTGTGGGATGCTTCCTGGGTTACAGCATTAAAATGTGATTGATTTTTGTGTGCAACATGTGAATGATATTATATATGAAAACATGCTGTTTAAAATCAAAGGGACATTTGGCACTGCTGTGAAGAGGGCTGCCCCGAGTTTTTCACATCTAGATGAAGTCTGCCACCATGTGGACAGTTAGTATGATTAGATCTTTTATCATTCTTTTCGAAAAGAAAGATAAAAACTGGATAGGTGACAGAAGTTATTTGTGATCGAACATTTACTTCTTAGGCCGCAATGCGATGCAGAGCTACTTGAGAGTAAGTTCTACTGAACTCAGTTGAGTTTACTTCTAAATTTGCACAATGGGGCAAAAGCAGGTTGCTTACCTGTAACTGATGTTCTTCGAGTGGCCATCTGTGCATTCACACATATGGGTTGCTGCACCTGCTCAGTGCCTAGGCCGGAAGATTAGAAAGCTAACGGTTTCTGGCGGGAAAACTCCCCCCCTCCCCCTTCGTGGTATAAATAGAGCAGAGTGTCCGCCATTTTACTCAGTCTTGAAGACCGCACATTCGCCCTCTAGAGGTTAAAAATAAAAGTAAAGAGAAAACACAATTATATCCCAGTGGTACCGATGTGAATTATAGTACGGTACAGAGAACAATATCTAGTCAGCGATATAACCCAACGGTACCGATGCAAATAATATTTCGGTACCGAAAACAATAACCACCCAGCAACATAATCCAAACGGTACCGATGCAAATTATAGTACGGTACCGAGAAAAACGATATCCACTCGCCGACACCGAGTGGGGCCAGCGGGTGGGTTGTGTGAATGCACAGATGGCCACTCGAAGAACATCAGTTACAGGTAAGCAACCTG